AAGCCACACGACCTCCCACAACGTTTCCAATTTGGTGAATGGGCGCTGGCAAAGTTGGAGGAAGATCCACATTTTTTTCGAAAAATTGTGTTCAGCGACGAAGCTCATTTGTGGTTGAATGGGTACGTTAACAAGCAAAATTGCCGCATCTGGAGTGAAAACCAGCCAGAAGCATTGCAAGAGCTACCAATGCATCCCGAAAAAAGTACTTTTTGGTGTGGATTATGGGCCGGTGGCATCATCGGGCCGTACTTCTTCAAAGACGACAATGGCCGGAACGTAACTGTCAATGGCGAGAGCTACCGTGCGATGATAACAAACTTTTTTTTACCCAAAATGGAAGAGCTGGACTTGTCTGACATGTGGTTTCAACAAGACGGTGCCACATGCCACACCGCACACGAAACAATGGCCCTATTGAGAGGCGAGTTCGGTGAACAGTTTATCTCACGTTTGGGGCCCGTCAATTGGCCGCCTAGATCGTGTGATTTAACGCCGTTGGACTATTTCTTGTGGGGCCATGTTAAGTCTAATGTCTACACGGATAAACCAGCAACGATTGACGCACCGGAAGCCAATATTGAAGCATCTATTCGTGAGATACCGGCCGATATGTTGGAGAGAGTGTGCCAAAATTGGACCTTGCGCATGGGTCATCTAAAGCGGAGCCGCGGCCAACATTTACATGAAATAATCTTTAAACATTAAATTATATCGACCGTTCTATCGACTCAAATAAAGATTTAATCGTTTTTTCAAATTTTTTGTGTTTTTTTTTTGAAATCAAACCCTATAACTCTTAAAAAATCACCAGTTATTAACAATGTGATCAAATTATACAACTCTTTAAATTCAAGAAAAACTTGCAAGGAATTCTACTTGATTAGCAGTATCTGACCTTATGTTTTTTTATGCCTTTACATTAATTATACTTTAGTTTGTTGTTATTGTATGCAGCTATTAATTTTCAACAATTGAGTTTATATACATCTCATATTGTTAAGAGGGTTAGGTGGGAGGATATAGTATCAAAATCTCACCTTCTGTAATATTATCAAAAATAAAAAAGACGTCAATTATTATTATTAATATTACCTAACACGAAGAATTTGATGACAGCACGATATTCAAGACGTTGACTTAAAAACTTCTTGTGAACAAACTACTTGAGAGAACAAGTAGAACTTGTCTTTCGAAAAAATGCAGAAATTTTAAATTTTCACTGATTGGTGTGCCAGGTTTTGTCAGGCCGAGACCTTTCATCGTACTCGGATGCGAAACTTTGGCGACAAGTATAAATACGTTTTTCCGCTACGATTGAGCTTTGTCCAAAAGTTTAAACGCCAGAATCTTATGCATAAAGCATTTAAATGCTTCCAAGCTGTGAGCTGCTAGCACTGGCGAACAATAGCCTCGTTGTAAATTGTAAATTCTGCATTCGCTAGAAACTTTCTCTGGACAGTTACAGTAGGTGGGTGTAGTTTAAAACTGGTGAAATTATTCAGCTTTTTTGGTTTGTATTTTACGCTTTGTGGAAAATATGTGGCGCTTCGCGTTCAACGACCGTGGGGAATAGTTTTACTTGAATGATAGTGGAAAACTTTGCACAAACAATGGAATGAATTGTGACAGGTAACAGAAAATTTAAACGTTGTTGTTCAAACTTCCATTGTCTATAAGGTTTTTTGATTCACGACGTTTCGATCTATGCGATTTTCTATCGTCATGTGCCTCCCATTCTTGGAAGTAATGGTATAATAAATAACAATTCTAGAATAGAAACCACTGTATACAGAAAGGCAATACATACAGGACAACACCTTTTGTACCAGTCAACCCGCAACCACGAAGAAAGGCGTGATTAGACCCCTCATCGACGAGCATCTGCAACACACAAATAAATGTCCAGGAAGAAAGCAACTGCATCTAAGTCAACGCCAAACAAAGTGGCGTGCACGTCATCAAGGTGGGTGTGTTGAAAAATTTACATTGTTGCCAAACTTTTTGTAAAATAATAAAATTTATTATTTACATATCTAGGTTTATAAGCAATATTAACCTCAAATGAGAACAAAAATAATAGTATAATAAAATTATAGATCTGTACTTGCATAATCATTAAGTATGACAATTATTGATCAGATGACACTATGAAACTACCATATTTAATTGATAGCTTAAAGGTATTGAATAAAAATCCAAATGGGGTCCTCCAAATTTTATGCATGGTATTTATTTTACAGAATTCATACAGAAAAATGCATTCTAAAATTAGGTAAGCTACTGGTGTAAGCTTTTTCTGTACAATAAAGTTAGTCGGAGTTTCTTTCTTCAGCGCTGTCTGAATCTGAATCTTCATCACTCTCAAAGTTGATTATTAAAGGTTCGATGTCTGGTCGATCAAAAATTCGTTCTCTTTCATACCATTTAAAAATTTCTTGCTCAGTATGTCGAACACTATTTTTCCACATGTCTAGGGTAACCGTTTGTAGAGCCTCGTTCCACATATCCAAACAGTCTTTTTCACTGTTACCATCTCTACCAATATGTCTGTTATAGTAACCTTTTGCTAGGCCCCAAATTAACTCAATAGGGTTAAATATACAATGGTAAGGAGGCAGACGAAGAACTTTGTGCCCATGTTGTTCCGCCAATTCATCAATCACCTATATTTTAGGTGGTTTGTTTCTAAAAAAGCAGTTATTTTAAGAATAGGAATAAACAAAAGAAATATAAACTGTCGACCAAAATATATATAATTAAGAAGCATTATGCACCGAGCAACAATACTCAATAGCTCTGTTTTAAACATTGTGTTTAAAAATGGTATGTTTTGATTTGTCAACCAGTCTTGGATATTTTTTTTTGTCCATGCATTGTTGGGCACTTTGTTCAATATCATGCTGTGATAAGGGCGTTATCCAGTATAATCATAGATGGACTCTCCAATTTTTCTAATAACTGATGTTGAAACCATTTCAAAAAATTGTCCTGGTTCATCTCTCCATGGTAATCGCTCAATTTTGTTTTCGAAGAAAATATCGCTTCACTACCCTCAATAAACCCATTTTCATTTCCAGCATGTAATATAATGTATCTAAAATATATTAGTTTTAAATTTTATAGTGCAAATTGTGTAAAAGTACATACCTTTTACCATCTGTTTTAATAGCTTTCACGCTTTTTTGGTTTCCATTTTGCCAAGAGCGACCTATGGTCCCATTTTGAAATATCCAAGTTTCATCGAGGAAGACAAACTGGTATAAGGCCTCAACCTTGGCTTCATTGTATTGCCTTAGAAATTCCACCCTTTTCAAAGCTATACTTGGTAGTTCCATGAGCCCTCGTCGCGGATTGTCCTTAAGCCACTTAAATCCAAGATCTCTAAGCAACCGCCTTAAAGACGTGGCACTACCATCAAATAATGCCCTATCTCTTAATCGAGACCATAAAGTTTGTATCGTAACTTGTTCTTCTGAAACCATGTGTAATATGACATTATAATTTAGTTAACAAATTAATGCAAATTTCTGATAAGTTATTATAATAAGATCTTACTTTTGTGATACATATTATAGATCACTTCTCGAATGGCACTTGTATCCAATGTCGCTGTGTTGGTTACACGTTTAATATAACTCCGCTTTTTCTTGGGCGATTCTAAATTTGCATCACTTTTCACACCCTCGGAAATACGACTAACTGTCCTTAAACTAATTTTTAAAGCAGCAGCAACACGCTACAAAAAATGAAATAAAATTTCACTATTATTAATATACATTACATATAATTATTAGTAACTTACCTCTTGAACAGCATTTAAAGGCAACAAAGGCCCGTTGTTGTCCCTTTCTTGCTCAAAGTAGTGCATTAACGAGGCCACGAGTTCCTTACACCGACTATTTAACTGTTTGGGCATCTTTATATACCAAAATTGCCTTTATCTACTCGTAAAATGAATAATTTTGTTTTGAAACAAACAGTTGTTGATTTACAGTATGCGGGGCCAAAGGATTTATAAAGATTTGAAATGCCACAAATTGATTCAGTGTCAAAATTAATACAAATGTCAGTTCCCAGTTTAAATAAGTTTCAAGGTGACAATGTGTCAACGCTGCGAAATCGGTTTAGTGCGTTTACATGTCGATAAGTGATTGGAGCGTTTGCAAAACATTTTATTTCGCATAATGCGTCTAAATTTATCAGAAAGCAACTTATGTGATATTTTAATAACAATGTTTATATGACTATTAACCATAATAAGAGAGTAATGACCATTTTACAATTTATATATCACATTAATATGAAACTGCAATAGAGCAATTGTTTGTGATAGAAACCTAGGCATTAGGTCGGGGAATTTTTATCGTGATGACGTGCACGCCACTTTGTTTGGCGTTGACTATAGTCTTTCATCTCCTTCAGAAAGGCCAGGATATTTCTATTGCTCCTTGTCAGCGTCAGCACTCTCCTATTGTCAGTCTATTTTTCTTCTTGAATTGTAGAAAATGTCAGGCTATATAACAGATGATATGAATCAAAACATGAACTGTTTGATGCAAATAGGTATTTGTAACATAACCTCAAAATCGAGCGCTGACACGGAAAAGTAGAAAACTATGAAAATTAAGGCGTCCTACAATTATAGGAACGACTGACCATACGTGCCTTAGGTGATTGTTATTTCGAAAAATATAAGGTCTACGTCAAAATATAGATAAAAAGTATTCAGAATTTTTCGCACAATACAAATATCGAATAAAATTGAAAACAAAAGTTTCTGAAAAACTGTAGATTTGGCAACATCGCGGATATCATGAAGGGATCCGCCGTTCGAACCTAAACCTAACAATTTTAAAAAAACTAGATCAGTCTTTCGTCAGATATTCGATGCGTTCCGAGCTTTTGTTACAGTCTGTACCGGGTGCGCCATCTTTTATGTCGATATTGAAACATCGAATGACCTTGACATTTACCAACCGAGTGATTTGGTTTTACGTGTTTCTGAAACGTCAATTTACTACAATTTTAGTCATGAATCGTTTTACACCAAAACAACGCGCCGAAATAGACACAATGTACATTGAAAATCGTCGTTCAGTTGCGTTAGCGCAGCGTGCATATCGTGGAAAATATCATGGCAAACGGGCACCGTCTGACAGCACTATCCGTCGTTTGGTTTAATTTTCTTGAGTACGGGACAGTGGGAGATCGTCAATATACCGTTCATCAAAGACCAAGATGTTGAAATGAATTAGTTGAAGCGTTCAAAGACAGCGTTGCCCAGAACCCAAAAGTGTCGTATCGTCTCCGCGCTCAGCATTTTGGCATCAGTGGAACCACGTTGCGGCGCATTTTGAAGGATGATTTGCATTTGTTTCCTTATAAGGTGCAGTTAATACAAAAAATATTGCCAACCGACCGTCCACGCCGCTTGGAATACGCCCAAACAGTCGCTCGCATGGTTGATGCTGAACCTGATTTTTGGAAGTAAATTGTGATGACCGACGAGGCCCATTTCACGCTCTATGGCGGCGTTAATAAGCAAAACTGCCGCATTTCTTCAACGAAAACGAAACAGTCGATGGAAATCGATATCGGTGGATGTTGGCTGATTATATCTGCCCACAAATGCATGAAGAAAGGTCTTGATGGTTACTGATTTCAACAAGACGGTGCAACATGCCACACTGCAAATGAAACAATGCAGTTTCTGCATCGAACACTCCCTGGACGTCTGACGTCAAAAAGAGGTGACATTGACTGGCCACCCAGATCTCCAGATTTGACCCCACCGGACTTCTTGTTGTCCCAGAGACCACCAGAGATGCTCGAAAAAGTAATGGAAAACGCAGCAAAACGGGCACATTCTGTTTTGGCCAATAAAGGTGGCCACTTGATAGATGTTGTGTACAAAAACTAGTCAAAATAAATTGTAAAGGACCATATTTAATAAAAATACCCGATATATAGAAATCAGTTTTTCATTTTCAAAGTTATTTCATGTTTACATATCGAAATATACTAAGTGACATATAAATCCGAACACCCAGTTTAAATGGTTTTATTTTAATAAAATTTTGTTTAAGTACTTAGTGAAGCATAATAAGTAAATGATAAAAATTTCAAAATGATTGCACTGCTTTAAAGCCCTTTGACCTTTAATAATGTGTGGATGCACCCTGATGTGCTACGCATTCTCCAACGCGCCTAGGCATGCTTCTGATCAGGTGGTCAATGTCCTCCTGTGGTATCTCATTCCAGGCAACCACCAACTCCTCTCGAAGTGCTTCTAGAGTCTGAGGAGGACGTTGCAAATTGAACAATCTCCTACCCATCATATCCCACACGTGCTCAATTGGGGATAAGTCGGGAGATCTTGGTGGCCATGGTAACAATGTGACATCATTATGTTGAAAGAAGTCTATTGTGACTCTTGCAACATGTGGTCGGGCATTATCTTGTTGGAAAGTTGGATCTGCCAGGGTGTCAAGATAAGGTAAAAGATGGGGTTCTAGAACTTTGTGGATATAACGCTGCGCGTTCATGTTACCTCTGATGAAGATTAAAGGTGATCTGGAACCATAAGCTATAGCACCCCAAACCATAACTCCAACAGTGTGATGAACATGTCTTTCAACAAAAAACTGTGGATTCCTCCTTTCACCACATCGCCTTCTAACCCTGGCACGACCATCGTGAATGCCTAAACAAAATCGAGACTCGTCACTAAAGACAATACTGTTCCATTCTTGATCCCAGAGTGACCGTTGTCTGCACCACTCAAGGCGATTACGTCGGTGTTCTCGAGTTAAAGGGAGGACCCAGTGTGGCCGGTATGAAAACAAGCCAAAACTTCTCATTCGGCGGTAAACACTTCGCATGCCAATAGGTCTTCCGTGTTCTGCAAACCATTCATTTGCAATGGACCTGGTAGTGGAGAAACGGTCCCTTAAGGCCAATAATCTTAGGCGGCGATCTTCACGGTCTGTTGTTCTACGGCGGCGTCCAGTGCCCCTTGCTCTTTGCGTACGGCCTTCTCGAAGCCATGCCTGACAACACCTAACCACAGTGTCTATACTCTGGGCGCTGAAGAAAGACATTAAACGTAAACAGTGATCAGCACGTGAACAGATCCCTCGAAAGCATCCACGGATATACTCCAGTCACTTTAGGTCTAAACATCCTCGGCAGTGTATTTCTAGTGAATCCACAGACCCTTTTTCGTGTCTTCTTGAGACTAGAAAAAGGATGACTGTTAAAATAAGTTACCTTGATCTTTCATGAGCTCCCAGTACAAAACATCATCGATATATTTTTGATGTAGGAACAACAAATTGGTTTAAAAAACATCCACTTTGAACCTAAATTGACTGGAGTAACATCGATCTACAGACAAATTCAAGGTCACTAGCAGTCGTCGGCGCTCTACGAATCTGCACAGGTTTGGACTTGTAAACGTGATTGTAGATAACACGACAGGCATCTAACAGTTAATTCACGCACAGGATTGCATTGCATACGCATTACGCATTCAGTAGCGTAAACTCGTTTTTCGCGAGTGGAACGTTTTGTTTATATATTGCCTAAGATACGACGAAGTGGTTGACATCAGCGCAACCCCACCCAAAAAAAGGGCTAAGAAGCTACATTTAAGTGCAAATGAAAAACAAATAATATTAAATATATACAAAAACTAAATTCAAGAAAAACCCGATTTGGTCGTGGACGAAGTTATATGTAAGGTAGCACATATTTCTGGAGTATGTCGGTCCAGTGTTTATAGGATCATTAAGGAATATAGGAGCACTCACTCACTTTCTGAGCCAAAACCGTATCCTGCAAGAAAAAGGATAACGGACGGAGTAGATGACTTTGACAGAACTGCCATCAGGAGGAAAGTGCATAATTTTTTCTTCCGAAATGAAATACCTACAGTAGATAAGATATTAAGATTAGTTAATGCTGATGAGGATCTTCCATCATTTAAAAGAACCACATTCCGAAAACTTTTGAAGGAACTTAATTTTCGATTCTTGATACGGGGAAGAAACAGTATGTTAATAGAGAAAGAAGAAATTGTTGTGTGGAGAAGGAATACCTTAGGAAGATTCGGAAGTTTCGCGATGAAAAAAGAAAAATTTACTATTTGGACGAAACGTGGGTGAATGCTGGACATACTCAAGCGAAGGTTTGGGTCGACAAATCAGTAACATCATCAAGGCAGGCTTTCTAGACGGTCTTTCGGCTGGATTGAAAAATCCTGCAGGTAAGCTCCTTGATCTATCCGGCAATTTAATTTTGATAAATTCGGGCAAATAATATGCTGTGATAGCAGATAATGTGTGATATTCTCCAAAAATGGTGCATTCGCAGTGTAGTTATTAGGAAAAAAACTTCGACCCTCTTTTAAGCGTTATTTTGAAATTTATTATCATTTTTGGGTGCAGTCAATTTGCTTTGAATGGGTTTTGAGAAGTTGCAAACTTCAATTTTCTACGTTTTTCAGTTTTTGATCAGCATTCCGAGACTCTTAAATTCAGCTAAATGAACTCAATTGCCTCATTCCTTCAAATTTAATCAATCCATAGTGTAAGGAATAATTTATTTCCAGGAAAAGGCAAACGGCTGATCATTGTCACGTAGGTAGTGAAGACGGCTTTGTTCCCGAAGCACTGTGGGCCTTTGAATCAAAAAAGACAGGGGACTATCATGAGGAGATGGACGGCAATTCCTTTGAAAATTGGTTCTCCAAAATGTTACTAAAGCTGGAGAATAACGCTGTTATTGTACTGAATAATGGCCCGTACCATTCTAGAAAAATAGAAAAAATTCCCACAATGGCAACTAAAAAAGCAAACATACAACAATGGCTGGCCTCAAAACAGATCGATTTTGATGAAAACAATGGTCAAGGGTGAATTGATAAGTATAGTCATTAGACATAAATACAAATACGATTTTAAAATGATCGACGAAATGGCCAAAAAACAAAATAAAACTGTCTTGAGACTGCCACCCTACCATTGTGAGCTGAACCCTATTGAGCTGATTTGGGCCAACATAAAGCAATACGTGGCGTCGAATAATAATACTTATAAATTTTCTGATGTTAAAAATCTCTTTCACATCGCAGTCAATAGAGTTACGGCAGAGGAATGGAAAAACTGTATCCGCCCGTTCGGGAGAAGGTTGAGGTCAAAATGTGGGATTTGGACAATGTCATCGATACCCAATTGAACCTCTAATAATTCATTTAAACGATTCAGAAGATTCAAGTTCCTCTTCTGAATGAGTGCGCGCAGCTTACTTACTAATAACTAAAAAGTGTAGTTAACTCATTTGTGAATCTCTAACTGAAATTTACTGTAAAAGATAATAATTATCTTGTATGAAATTTTTGATGACTACCCATAATATCTTGATGCGGTCCTGTAATGTCTCCTGCGCCTAAACACTCACTCACGAGCAATATGCGTGTATTTGTTTGGGTTTAGTTTCTTTCTTCAGCGCCTAGAGAATACACTTCTTTGCACTCTAATTGCAATTGCCCGAAAAGAAAGTCCAGCTTCCCGAAGTCCCACTATACGGCCCCTATCAAACTCACTAAGTTGACGAAATCGTACAGGTCTCCGTACTCTAGGCATCGTATCCGATCGTAAGGGATGTCAAGAACCAAAATCCGCCAATGTTGATTCTTTACTGCGGCTGAAATATTCATTTTTAGAGCGTTAGTGAATTAAAAAAAGCAGTATAAAAGCCGGAATGTCCAACTGATAAGGCTGAACATTTTTTCACTTGTTATTTACAGTAAGATAAATACATTTACCAACTTTTCTTAAAATAAAACCATTTAAACTGGGTGTTCGGATTTATATGTCACTTAGTATAAAAGATAGCACACCCTGTATATACTAAAAGTCATTGGTTCAGCTGTTTTCGCGTGGAAACGGAACCTACAAAAATACATACACGCTTTCACATTTATAATATTAGTCGAGATGCCATCACGCTTCTTATTACTCCAAAGCTATCGCTGAAGGTTTCTGTTGGGTTCTGCATATTTTGCCTCCGCTACTATAGAAAAAAGTGCAAATATTCATTATTCTTGGACGCAAGGTGTTGATGCACGGAAAAAACCTTGTTTTAGAAAATTCCTCATTCTGATTTACGTATGATGTGACTTAGATAAACCTAAGTACCTTGCTTCGACTGCGGTCTGTAGATGGTTTCGACCAGGCAGAATTTTAAGTACGGAAGGTGCAAAAGCTATTAACTTCATCGAAAAATAAAAGA